TAGTCTTTTGTTTAAAACAATCTTGTAAGTGGAAAATTACTGGACTTGGAGTTTTTGCTCATTAGCTTATGACCTTGGGCAAATCATTTTACTTCTTTGGACCACTTTTTCTCATACATAATTTTATGTCATGGTCTAGAGAGTCCTTAGGATTCTAGCTTCACTATTCTTGGATTCTAAGGCTGGCCCTGAGTAACATGTGAGAGTATGCCTTCACTCTATTTTCCCCAGGAATGGCATGAATATATTTGCCTGGGCATTGTGGTCTGGGGAAAGGGATCTGGATCTGAAGCAGGGAAATGAAAAGGCCCATTGTACTTGTCTGTATGTCCTTCATTGGTGTTGATTATGGTATGTACAAGGCTAGTAGTGGCTTCTTAAATACCCTGAATTGCTAGTGATTTTAGTCCTGAATTCAAGTGGATTTCAAAATGCACGCCCTTCTAGACGCTGCTTTCTGTAGTGAATGATCTGTAGCCCAGTTGCCTGGTGAATGCATGGAGAGGTAACAGTGGAACAAAGGGAGCTGCTGCTGCTGGTCAATGACCATGTTGGCCAATGACCACATTTGGTGCAATCATGGAGTCAATCAAAACAAGCGTCTGTCTCCAAGATATGGCTTCTATTCAGGAACTATTAGGCAATTGGAGACCCCCAAAGCAAGAACTCATTTATCAAGAAGATAAATAAAATAAGAGTTTGGAACTGATGATGTAGAAGAATAATCCACTGAAATGAGGCTACACTCGTAGCAATTCGTCAAGATGCAGGGGAGCTTTGTGGTTAAGAGCACAGCATTTTTTAGTGTGTGATTTTGGCCAACTTATTTAATCTCTCAAAGCCTCAGTTTCCTCATATCTCAGAGGGATATTGATATTCACCTCATATAGTTGTTCTAAGGAGATGGTATAAGGGCCGACATATGTTAGTCATACGTAACTATTATTATTAAAACTATTAGTACTATTACAAACCTCAAATTCACACTGGATTTCAAAGTTTTGCTGCCCCTCATCTAATAAACTACGCAGGCTGTAAGAATAAACATGAAAACTCAACTGTTGGATGATCTATGATTGGAGTAGAGTGCATATACAGAGAAAAAAATTCTTATGAATTTTTAAATCAGTGCACCATGTCCACAGTTTTTTACCCTATTATTTTACCCCTAGGTCCTTACTTTAAAAAAGTATCCATCTCCTTTTGCTTTTGATTGATTTCATTCTGTGTATATGAGGTGGGATTATAAATTAAAGACAGTGGTTTGCATCAACTTCGCTCATTACTCCATAGTCCCATTTTGTCTGCTTCTTTTGAAGCTTCTGTCTCCTACATGTGGGATAAATATAAATTTGCTTAACTTGTTCAAAGAAAGTACTATGACCCTGAATCCTGAAAACTCTTTGTTTTGTAATATAACTTTAAAAAAAATTAACCAGAATAAAATGTTAAACAACAAAAAAATTAACCCTGAAAAAAGTGAGTGTTAAGATACTCTGGAACTGCTGATACAAAAATATAGAAACCACTGAAAACTGGTCTGGTTTGGGTTCAAGTATTTTTGTCTCAATGAGCTTCAACTTTTGCTTGGTTCACTGAAAATTCAGTGAAACTTTGAGATGCTAAATGGTAACAATGCCTGGTAGTGACAGCTTCAGAACAGAGCACCTGGGAGTGGTGGTTTTCTTGTGTTTCACTGTTTGAATCTTTCAGAAGAGAAGTGAAATTCTATGATCCGAGTTTCATTTATTTATTTAGTTTTGACCTGCATTTTCGTGAGCAATTTCTCCTGTCAAGTCATACGTTAGTCCATTTGGATTTGAAAACTTTATAGATAATTTTGCAGGCAGTATTTTCATGGAAAAGAAATTAGGACTAAAATCTGGGATTCTGACCGCCTAACACAAAAATCAGTGTATCCTTAATTCAGTTTTTAAAATATGTTCCATAATTATTCATTCATCATTGAACTAATGCACCTGTTTTTCAAGGAGTTTCACTACATTATTTTTTAAAAAATTAATTTTGGCAAAAAATAGTAACATAAAATTTGCCATCTTAACCATTTTAAGTGTGCAGTTCTGTAGTGTAAAGTATATTCGTATTGTTGTGCAACAGAGTTCCAGAAGTTTTTTATCTTGCAAACCCCAAAATTGACACCCATTAAACAATAACTCCCATTTCCTCCTCACCCTAGTCCCTGCTCAATTCAGTTTTTAAGTGGGGTATGCTTATGTTTTGCGATTACAATTTGATGAGGGCAGAGACCATTTAAGTGAATTGCAAACTGTAGGGTACTGTGTCTTTATTTGAGAATATGAACGAATGGCAGGAATGAGTGCTCACAGTTGGCGTTCTTCTTATTCGTTAAACTGTCAAATACTACTGAATGGCACACTTGAAGTACTGGAATGGCAGGTATCGCTCATAGTTTTGAGTAGTAGGGTTTACAATTAAAATCAAAACCAGAAATGGAACAAGGCAGAAAACCTTGACAATGAAGGAGCGAAACTTGAAGTAGGTAAATAATTGAGAGAAGTTGTGAAGTTATCTTCCATTGAGATCTTTAGAAAGGCAAATGTTCACTTCAGTATTGTGTTTTTGTTGAGGTACTACCCAGCGTCCCAAGGAATATGTTAACAGGTCCTGAGCTTGCCCCTTTCTTAGACTTTTCAAAGCTATGCTTAAGGGGTCTGGTGAGGCCACAGTACAAGGCAAAATTCAGGGGAGGGGATGATGAAATGTGGGTAGTGATATCTCAGAGCCTTCATTTGCTCAAATGAAAGCATTTTAAAAAGGCTCAGCTTCCTGGTTGGGAAATGAACATCACGGAAGAGGTTTAAATTCCTGATCGAGTGAGGTAGAGTTGTCCTCCACTTACTTAAAAAGTCAAGATGAGATGTCATCTTATTGGCTCCCTACCATCATCATCTTCATAGCTACCATGTACTAATATGATGAGTGAAATTTGTCATGATAATAATGATGATGATGGTGGTGATGCGACGTTAGTGATGAGAATAGCGGTCACCAGACTCATGGATGTTCCATCCTTCTATCAGATCTCTTGCCTGATATGTCCAAAATCTGGAAACTCAATGTTTGATGATACTCCTTAAGTCTTCACAGAATTAAATTTATAGACCTCATGACTTAGAGTCACTTAAGACTTGCTTCTAGTGTGTTTCAGGTACATTTTACATTAAACGTTTTTTGTGAGTCAATCTGGGAATTTAATTATCATTTATAAACTTGTCTCCCTGCTAAAAATGTATTTTGAGTCCAAAACAAATAAAGTAAAAATTTTTAGGAAATGACTCTTTTTAGGTAGGAAATTGTTTCAATTTTCTTGTAATTCTATATCAGCATTTAATGAAATATTTTAATTTGGTTTTGGAATGAAAGCTATAGCTTAATTTTAATCTTGGAGGAGAATAGTACGGTAGCAGAAAAATGAATACTATGGCATATATTAAGTTGTTGATATGTATTGGTCAAATTAATTAAGTACAAAGTCATTTATATTTAATCATTTGACTTTGAAATATAGGGTAAGAGTTTTTAAACTTCAATAGAATTTTATAATGATGCTTTTCTTATTTTGATATTAACATGAATTTTCGTGTCTCTGAACTCACATATTTTGCCTACACTGCGCTTATTCTGAGTGGTGGAGAGAGTTAAGCTAAAATTAAAAATGTATTTTTCAAGCAATCCATAAATTAGTTGATTCAAGCACAGCTAATGAAGTACAGATGGTGTTAAGACTACTTAGGTAGTGATGGCTATAGGAAAATGTGAAGGAGAAGAACAAGCAGTTTTAGTGAGCTATTTCACTAAACCTGGGTTGCCAACATGCTCCTGAGAGGTTTTTTTCTTTACGGTCCTTCCTATGGTGGAGTATATAGAGATAATCCCGGTATTAATAATAAAATATCAGCACAGGAAGGAAAACCATGCGTTAATCTCTCATCTCATTCATTGCTTGAATTGAGCAGCTGATTTGGCCCCTAGGCCTGGGCTCTTTTCCTTTCTCAAAGCCCAATCTGATTCTCTCTCTCAGTCGATGGGGACTGCCTCCCTGGTTGGAGGAAGACCGTTTTCAAGACAAGGGAATATGAGTGGCTATACTCCTCTTCTAGGACTTACACTGGAGTTGACATGGTGAGCCTACGCTTTGGCCAGAAGTGTTGTGTACAATTTGGGGACATTAAACAATGTGGAAAGGTTCTAGGGAACAGTAGAAATGGCACTAGATTAGGACCCTAGGTACCATGTGGATAGGTTTAAGGAAACTGTAATCATTTCATCAATATTTGCCAATAATACAATGTTTTCGTCTTGTTTAATCTTCACAAAACCTTATAAGGTAAATCTTTTGATTAATAACATTTTGAGGTTAAAAAACCAGAGATTTAGAGAAGTTAAATCATGTTCCTCAAGCTTACGCAGGTGGCAAAATAGACCTGGAATTCACCCGAAGATTGTCAGACCCCTCACAAAAATACGGCAATTATTCTGCTGGTGCTTGCTATGATGGCGGTGGGGATTTGAGACGTGGTTGCTGCTCCTCGGGTGACCATTTTGCCCAGTTATTTCCAATTAGTTAAATTTGAAGTTCTTTATAGTTCCTTTTGTTTTGCTTTCTTCCTCTTTTTCACCTCTGGTTATTTTCTTCCTACTTCTCATATCACTCTCAGATTGGAAGCAAAGGCCATGATTCTTGCCCATTCTCTCCCCTCACCACAAAACCTGGATTAATTAGGACAGATTGGCCAGAAATATGGTGACTAGTCAGTTTCTCTTTCTGTCTGCCTTAGCCCGGCTATCAGGATGAATTTAGATTAGGCATACTCAAGGATATCCATGAGTAATAACTGTAAGCTTTGTCATAGACAACTGTATTGGATGTGCTTAAATGTACAACTCTGTTTTTCTATTATTATGTGATATTTCACGTTGACTTGTCAAACTGAAAAATACCCATATTGATTTTGCAGAAAGCTTCACATGTGAGAGAAATGCACTCAAAGACTCCTCACAAGTAGCTCTTTGGAGCATCAGATGTGAAATGGATCATTCCTCAATCTGTAATAGACCCTTCTGTGAAGCTCTTCAATCAAACCTGAGAATTCAAGGTGAAGTTGAGGGGAGGATGGGAAACCCCGACAGGGGGATTTGAGTGAACTAGCTGAGAAAGGAAGCTGGGGCATTTGCTGCCTCCTTTTTCAGTTCTTTTCTTGAGCATAGGAAGGCTGTCAATCAACGTGTGACCTTACACGCTGTGTGCATGTAATACCTAGGTCCTGCCAGACAAGTTGTAGAGGGAGTGTCACACGCACCTTTGATTTCTTTCCATTTGTCAGTTGTTCTGACAACCTTCAGGTAATTTTTAAAGTGGCTATTTTATACAGATTTATTATTAGAGTTTCTCTTTCCACCAAATTATTTATGTTGTTATATTTGATTGGATGAACTTTTTATCTTTTGAGAAAAGCAGAAATAATCTCTTAAAAAAGTTAGTGATGGGGGCTGGCCCCATGGCTGAGTGGTTAAGCTCGCGCGCTTCGCTGTAGGCGGCCCAGTGTTTCGTTAGTTCGAATCCTGGGTGCGGACATGGCACTGCTCGTCAGACCACGCTGGGGCAGCGTCCCACATGCCACAACTAGAAGGACCCACAACGAAGAATATACAACTCTGTACCGGGGGGCTTTGGGGAGAAAAAGTAAAAAATAAAATCTTTAAAAAAAAAAAAGTTAGTGATGTATGATAACTACCTTAGTTAGAAAGAATTGTCATATTTTGTTAAGTAATGATCCTGGTAAGTACATCTTGTTTAAGAATCATGTTTGTGGATCATGTAATGACTTTTAATTAGTTTGTTCCCAGTAAAGCAATAAGACATAGTTACCCCTAGTAAGGAAAACAGCATTCAACTGCAATTAGTTTTTATGTCACATTTTTTATTTATTTGGGGGTACATTTTCAGTTGGGCATTTCTAGGTTAATTAGAAAAAAACCCTCTAGAATCTTCAGTGGGCTGTTTAGTTTGAAGAAGCAGTGAATCCCCACACCAAACTAAGCAATAAAAACTATGCTTTGGAATTTATGCTCAAAAACAGAATATGTTTGATAATAGTGTTTGATGCTCGAGCTGCCCTGAAATGATTGCTATCCCATAACTGTGTCATAGTTTTCCTAAGCCATAGAGACGGTGTTGTTTGTAAAGCTTGCATATTAGTATAATCTTAAGAGCATATTAATTGCCCGGGAGGTTTATATATTTGTTCTGTGCATGTGATTAAAGATCACGGCAGCTTATACAGCGTAATTTTAGAGACGGAGAAAATGACTATTGTAATCCTTGCTACTCTCCGTTTCCTCTACAGCAATGCCCTTACACCTTTCTTTCTCAGCGTTTTGTAGCATCCTAAACAGAAGGATATTGAAGGGAGCTGATGCTGCTTTGATCCTTGTGCTTGTTGTCAAAGCGCTTGGGATTGAAGAGACTGTTGGCTACAATTGACTGTGACAATTAGGAGATGATCAGAGCCCTAGAGTGGAGCACTTAAAGGGTAATTTACATGTCAGTTTGTCGAATAAAAAAAAAGATATTCAGCTAAGATTTTTTTTTTTTTCCCTCAGAGCCTTGTAAACTGCAATTTGTGCTCTGGTAAGAAAAACCTGGCAGAGGAGTTAGGATAGCCATTACCATTTGAAAAGAAGCAATCATAGGGCCGCTGCTGAGCCCTTTGTCCACTCAAAATGCTGATTTGCAGGCAGTGAGTGAAAAAGTGGAACCATCACTAAATAAAACCTTGAGCTAGGTAACTGCCCCCCCCACCCTTGGTGGCTTTTTGATGTTGGTTAAAGGTGTTTTTTCAAAAATGTATCTTAAATCCTACACTTACTATCATTATAACATTGTTATTGGTCATGAATGTCCTTTCCTAAAAAAATAACACAAGGAGGCATTGAGGAAGTGGTAGGTGGAACACACGCCAACAGTCAATTGAAAGGCTAAAGCAGGCTATCACTTGTATCTTATTCTTTTCCCTTTTGTACATCATCACAATTTTCCTCTAGTCATCCTTTGCACTATGCTATTTTCTCCCTACTGTATCAGTGCGCTCCTAGGTTTTTCTATTTTTATTTATACTCCAATTTTAAAGTGGGAACTGTATTTCTAACCTTCACATATTTAAGGTATTTGGGTGCACTTGGCTAAAAAAGTAATATAGTTTCAGTCCATGATTTGCTATTCACATGTGGTCATCTCTATACTTTTCTATTAGGTAATCCATATGTACAATTAAAAAAAAAATAAAGTTAGAAAGCTAAAAGAGGATAATTGCCGGTAAATATATGATGATAGCAGTTATATATCATCCATTTAATTGTCAAATAGAATAAGAACAATTAGTTATTTCAAAATTTTTTGAGTCTTTTTCCTTCCCTGGAAACCGTTAATAATAATAATAATAACAACATAGTTGCAAGATTGTAATTTGGATAATTGTCTGAAAAAAAATTTAATACATCAGCACAACCATCCTGTCCAGACATATTTATATTTGGTATATGTATTTAATTCAGAGACACATGTTCACTTTCAATGGCAGATACACTTCACATTCTGTATTTTGGACATGGCTACGGTGAAGGGCGTTTGTAGAGAGGCAGCAGAGGATTAGAAATGAGTTTATCTCTATCCTAAAACATCTGCCTTTATTTATTTATTTATTATTTATTAAGAGCTAAGACCATGCATGGCCTTCACAAGCCAGAGTCTCCAATAACCCATTGCTGCTCCTCCACGTCCCTCACATGGACACTGTGTGTTGGGTTTTAAGTCTGCCCTTCCGTTAAAGACGTTCACTACCTCCAAATAGGAGGGCCTTATTTCTCTTCATTTGCATCTAATACCTTAACAACAGCAAACTTTTTTTTTCAAAGGATGCCTTAGGAAAGGAATTGCATTCTACTTTTGGGGATTTCTGAAAATCACAATAGTCAGTGTGCAGACTAGTTGAGAAAAGTCACTAATTCACAGACAGATATCAGCGCCTCCTCTGACAGCTTCCCAGGAAGGCCCTGAGCTTTTTCATGAAGTTTTTAAACTCTAGTTTTCCTTGTGTGCATGCCCCTTTGCAAAGAAGAACACGCAAGCAAAAAAAAAAAAAAAAAAAAAAAAAATCAGAATGAATAAGTGAATGTGTTACTAGGTGCAAAGAGGATAATGAGAGATGGCGTCAGAGAAAGTCTGGGCTTCCTTACCGTGTGTCTGGAGAATGCAGGCGATGGTAAATCTGTATCAGAAATCAGGCACAGCAGGAGGTGTTCTTCTCCCAGGTAATGGGTAAATGATTAGCAGATGAGCCATCCTCATATTGATTTAAGCATTTTGTTCCAGCCAGTCACAATTAACTTTGATTTGTTTTTACTTTCCTCTTATAGGTTTGCATTTAAAACACTCTTGGAGCACTAATTGTATAAAATTCTGGTAACCGCACATCCTCTTTTTAGAGAGGTAATGAGAGAATGAATGAAAAGGCAGGGATTATTTGCCATTCTAGGCGGGGATTGTCAGAAGATTTCTACTTGACTGAAATCGTTTTGGAAGGTGAGCTGGAACAAGAATCTTGCAACTGAAATGAAGTGACTCTGCATGTGGTTTTTGAATGTTTCTCTTTATCAAAGAATTCTGCAGAACTGTTCTGGGACTTACAATTTGATTTAAATTTTATTTGTAAGAGAATATTTAGGTGAATCATATGAAAACACTTTAAAGTATGCAGATTTGATTCTTAACAAGTAGATGGGAGTCTTTCAAAAGATCATTTGGAATTATTTGAAATGAGTTTTTCTGTTACCATCACAGTATTTTTTCAATATACACGTTGCCATGTTGTGACAAAATAAATTATGGTAACACTTTGAAAAGTTTTTAGAAATATGCCCAGGGAAACAATATGTAAGTTGTTAGTTAATTCACATGTCAATTTATTGAAATGTTGCTGCTACTGAAAAGTCCTAGAACCTTTAGCATAACATTGCAGAATGCTTACTGTCTTGTTTTAATGAGCAGCTCTTTGTACTTGTTTGGAGGTGGCCCTAGAGTTGCCAGATTTAGCCAATAAAAATAAAGAATTCCTGATGCCAGCCGTGTGACCTAGTGCCTAAGTTTGGAGTGCTCTGCTCAGTGGCCCAGGTTTGCTTCCTGAACGTGGACCTATGCCACTTGTTGGCAGCCATGATGTGATGGCGACCCACATAAAAAATAGAGGAAGACTGGCACAGATGTTAGCTCCAGGCGAATCTTCCTCAACAAAATAAATAAATAATTCCTAGTTAAGTTTGAATTTCTGATGCATAACGAATAACTTTTTAGTGTAAGTATGTCCCATGCAATGTTTGCATTTTACCTGGCAACCGTGGGTGGCACTCTGATTGGACAGAAATTGCAACTGTGCATTGAATGACAATTTAATTTTTATGTTATAATTTGTCATTTATAAATTATTTTACCTTTCACTGTCAGATTTAGATTTAGGCCAGTGAGCTCACCCCCCTTCAGATAGGAACCGAAAAGTTTTTTGACTCATTAACGCTGAGTTTAATTTCCCCATCATGTTCCCAGGGCAAGCTGTGACTTGTCATTTCAAGTGTATAGTAGCTTCTGCCTGACTGTTATAATGGAGACATCAGAGAAGGTGGCTGAGGAGTCTGGCTTACTTACATTGATCAGGCTCTGACTGGAGTGTTTGGTGGTTACAGGGGTAGAGAACTGAATGGTGCAATGAGGATATATTATCTTTGTGATGCTTTTCCTTTTGTGGCAGTATTGTGACTACATAGGTAGCCGAGTTCAAAATCCTTGCAGTTCTGATCCTGGTAACATCTTCTGGGAAGTGAAAGATTTTATGTCCTTGTACTTTTACTTTATTTCATTTAACTCTGTTCACCATCATCTCATTACCATGAAAGAAGCTAAGCTAAAACGTGCAGAAAACAGATATCTGATTTATCTTTTGGGGCCAGCATTAATTTTTGCTAGTATCATTTCTGTCATAGTCAGTTTGGACTGCTGTAACAAAGTACCGCGTGGTTTATAAACAACAGAAATTTATTCCTCACAGTTCTGGAGGCTGAAAGTCTGGGATCAGGGTGCCAGTGTGGCCACAGCCTGGTGAGAGCCCTCTTCCAGGTTTTCAGATGGCTGTCTTCCTGCTGTGCCCTCACATGGTGGAGAGAGGAGAACTTTGGTCTCCTTGGCCCTTCAAAAGGGCACTAATTCTATTTGTGAGGGCCCCACCCTCATGACCTAATCCCCTCCCTGCCTCCTAATACCATCGCATTGGGGTTAGGATTTCAGTTTATGAATCTTGGGGTCACACAAACATTTAGTCCATAACAATTTCTCTCTGTCTTGATGCTTTTGATGGTCTGTCAGAAGGACTATTTGTGGCAGAAAAGTTTGGAGCCCTGTTTCCTGTCTCCTAAGCCCCCTTCTAATTTCAGCTGTAGCTTCAGTGGACAGTTTCTCATAAGCCCAGGCCTCCAGATCATTTTTTGAGTTTTCCCAATTCCTGCCTCAGAGCCTTCTGCAGAATCACAGAAGCCTGCTCAATGATTCCTCAAGCTTACCAGGGAAATGTGTGGGGGAGTTAACACCCGCAAGGGCAGCCCTCAACTGATGGGAGACAGGAGCCTGTGGGTAAACGTTCCAGACACCTATCTTTTAGACAAACAGTTCTGAGAGGCACTCGGCATGCTTCCCAGAGGTCCCACCGTCCACAGCAGGTACCGTCTTATGTACCCTTACATTATGTTATTTGGCTTTTCCCCAAATCCCACCTCCTTCTCTCCATTTCCTGACACCTGTTTCTAGGGGTAACCAACATGCATCCAATTCCTTGCCTCAGGCTCTGCTTTCAGAGGAACACCAGCTAAGACGCTCCTGAAGCTGCTTTCCTCCCAGCACCACAGTTCTCTCCTTGCTCTAGGTCTAGATATTTTGCATCCTTTGGTTCCATCAAAGTTTACTTTTCTTATTATCAGGGGAAGAAAGTTCTGCCACTGTATCTACTACTAAGACTGAATCACACTGCTTACCAAGCATATCATGCACATACGTGACACCTGAACTCTACTTGACAATAAAAGCCACTTTTTATCAAACACCCACTACATGTGAGGGCAGATGCTAAGGGATCCATGAATATTGTTTCATTTAGTCCTCAGTGTGTCACCAAGAATGAAGCAGTATTTCTGTTTTACAGATGAAGAAACTAAGGCTCAGAAAGATTAAGGGATTTCTTTCAAGACCACAAAGCTAGTAAGTGGTAGAATAAGCATTGAGTTCTGATCTGTCTGACTCCACAGGCCATCCTTTTAACCGTTATACCATAGAGTCTACCATATACGGCTCTTAGAAGTTAAAATTTCTTACTAAAATACTAGTATGAGTAGCTAAAGAGATAAATGAGTAGAAAGTAGGGATGAGAGAGTTGGTTTCTATCAAATAAGGCAAACAGTTTTGTAAAAAATCTTCGCTCTTTTGCAAAGACCTGTGGCGCCAGCAAGATGGGCTAGTGTCACGATCTTCCTACTGCCGAGAAGCCCTGTAGCCACCAATGAAATCAGAAGGGCCATAATAAACACTACAAGAAAGCCCATTTGGGCACAGCCCTGAAGGTCAATCCTTTTGGAGATGCTTCTCATGCAAAGGGAGTTGTACTGGGAAAAGTAGGAGTTGAAGACAAACAACCAAATTCTGTCATCAGAAAGTGTCGTCGTCCAGCGGCTCAAGAATGGCAAAAAAATCACAGCGTTTGTACCCAATGATGGTTGATTGACTTTTATTGAGAAAAATGATGAAATTCTGGTTGCTGGGTTTGGTTTCAAAGGTCATGCTGTTGGTGACATTCCTGGAGTCCCTTTAGGTTGTCAAAGTAGTCAATGTCTCTCCTTTGGCCTTATGTGAAGGCAAGAAGGAAAGACTAAGATCATAAGTTTAGATGGTGAAAACATGGTAGTAGTAAATTTTCATATGCCAAAAAAGAAGCAAAAAAACTTCCTATTTTAACTTGTAACTGAGTACAAATTTTGAAGTATTTGTTCCATCACAAGACTTGGAGCTGCACAGATCTATGTCTTTTGGTTCACAGTGCCTTATACGTGATGGGACCTGATAAATGTGCACTGAATGAATTAATTTGAGTATTGTAGATTATGGTTTAAATTGACTTCAATGAGCTCAAATTTTTAGTGATCCAAACAATTGGCTTTAGTATCTTTTAAGATGATTTATTACTTGAAAAACAGTTAAAATTCTAATAGTGTCATATAATTTAAGCCAAAGTGTTTAGAACAGTGTAATAACACAGTTCTCAATGAAATATGGTGACTTCAGTTAATTTAAAACTATTGGAGGCAAAGAGGGGTGGAAAGATTCCATCTGATGTTACAGTAGGCGCATAATTAGAGAGGTCTGCGAGTGCTAGAGTGCAAAGGAAAATGTAGTAAACATGAACTTCTCTGGAGCCAGGGAGAGGTTGCCCAGAAAAGCCACGAAAAGATCTAGTCTCCACCAGGAAAAGGCTGGAAAAGTTCGTGGCCCTTCTTTACAACTTAGCTTGGGGGAAATGAGGACTCATGGCAGTTCTTCTCTGTTTGACTCTCTCTATCTTGACAAAATTTGTGTATTTCATGAATATTAGAATTTGGAACTCCTGAAGAACTGACTATATTTTGGGATCAATTCTATAAACCTAGCATCTTTATCTTATTGCATCCCTTGATGGAGAGATAGAATTTTACCCCTGCAAATCTTCACTGCCTTTTCATTGATAGAACTTCAAATTTTCTTCTATTTGCCATGCAGTCAGGGATCCAACCGTATGACAGTTTCTAAAATCTTCATGAGGTTGTTAGTTTTGAACAATAAAAAAGATGAGCATATGCCATGTCTATTTGTGCTTGCTGGTTACTATTGGTTTCTTGTGACAACTATAGTAACTGGTAGCCTCTCAAGAGGGAAAGCAGAAACTGCCAAAGTCCTAGTGCAATCATCACTGGCAGAATTAACTACTCCAATGAAAAATAACATCAGAGGTAACTAGGTTCTTTCCACAATCAGCAATGGGAGGTATGTAGCAAGCAAAAGTTGGTTTTGTCAATTGGCTTGCAAGACTGTAAAAGAAAAGTCTAATGTTCTGCCATTCAGCCTATTGTATGGGAATATTTTCAGACAGATTCAAGAGAAACTAGAGGAACCTCAACCTGGGTGTAAATGTCTAGAATTCTACTCGAAGAATATATATATATTTTTTGAGGAAGATTAGTCCTGAGCTAACATCTGCTGCCAGTAGTCCTCTTTTTGCTGAGGAAGACTGGCCCTGAGCTAACATCCGTTCCCATCTTCCTCTTTTTTATATGTGGGACGCCTGTCACAGCATGGCTTGACAAGCAGTGCATAGGTATGCACCCAGGATCCGAACCGTCGAACCCTGGGCCACCAAAGTGGAATGTGCGAACTTAACAGCTGTGCCACTGGGCAGGTCCCTCAAAGAATATTTTTCAAGTTCTTTGTACAAGATAAACAAACTTCTCCTGCTTACA